TACATTTTCAAGTTGGTGGAAACTGCCAAATTCCATTCCCCAGGAGGTATTGATTTACATTCCTTCTGATGTTGTATAAAAGTCCGTTTCTCCACACATTTATGTCAATAATGTAAATTAGTATCTTTTCTGATTTTGCCATTCTGACGGTGAAAAATAGTATTGCATGGCTATAATATATTTTTTGGTAACAAATATGTTTGATATCTCTTCTTTCTGTAAACTTATTATTTGTATGTTTTGACCATTTTAAAAACTATATTTTCTCATTGATTGATAAGAATTAGTTATGTATCTTGAATATTAATAATTTTTCATATATATTGTGAACACTTTGTCCCGTCTTTTCATTTTGCTCAGTGTCTCTTTGCCTATACATAAATTTTACATTTTTATGTAGTCAATCGCGTCCATCTTTTCTTTATTACTTATGGATCATATGTTAATGTACATAGACCCTCCATACTCAAAGACAGAAAAATATCTTCCTATAGTGCCTTCTTAGCTTTATTATAGAGTTTTTTTGACAGGGTCTTGCTATGTCGCTCAGGCTCAAAGTCCTGGGCTAAAGCGATCCTCCCACCTCAGCTTCCAGAGAGGCTGGGACTACAGGAACATGCCACAATGTCCAGCACGTTATAGTTTTTTTGCCTTTAAAATTTCAATCCAACTGTAATTTACTATTGTGAATGCTGCTCACACAACCATGAGGTAAGTGTTTGGGCTTCCTTTTACCCGGTGGTGGCAAACAATTGCTTTGACTTAATTTCATTTCCTAGGCAACTTTCTGAGAGCTAATTTTCGTGTTTGTACTAAAAGTTGAAAAAGAAAACAAGCACACCTTTTAAGATGTTTACTCACTGTGTCCTAAAGAATGTAAAACTGGAAATTTATTTTGGAAATCTGTCATTGGGTTATTCCTTTTTTCTGTGATTGGATCTCTCCAAGCGTGTTGTCAGGGTAAGTCTGTCTCTGCATCACCGTTTCTCTCTCCGTGTGTCACAAATTTCCTTCTCCTTTTCTCTCCCGTCCCCTGTCCCCTTTCATTTCTCCTCTTCGCCTTATCGCTCCCCTTCCTTAACCGTCTATAATGTTAACCACCTTAAATGTTTTTGAATCATTTATTCTGGTGGTTTAATAGTATTTCATAGTCTCAATGTTTCTTCATTTGTTTTGGAAGAAGGAGAAGGTTTTATTTACCTGACTGTGAATTTCACTAGAGTTGTAAAATGTATGCTAAACATAGGATTTGGGGATTGCAAGCATTTACAGCTGAGACTCCATTTGTTTATTTTTTTTTAATCATAAAAACAATTTTAGAACATTAAAAACATCTTTTTGGAAAGAGAAAAAAATTCATTTCCTAATGATTTCATGTGCATACATTTTCTAATATTTATAATTATACAGGATAAATATTTATATTGCATGTTTCACTTACGAACATTTACCTGTATCTCTATGGGGTCATGTTAAAGCAATATAGCTGAGTGGATAGAAGGCTGTATGGCTGAATTGGGCTCCTTGTTTATAGAAGGATGATCCTGGTGACTATTCAGAGCCTCTCGGTTCCTTTTCTTTCATGGGGATGATAACTGCCCCCCATTTTGGGGGGCAAGTATTAAAATGTGATAAGAAAATACACCCATAAAGACACCTGCTTTGGCAAAGGAGCACATCAGAAGGGTTGGTTTGCTCTGTGTGTGTGTGTGTGTGTGTGTGTGTGTGTCTGTACTCTATGCTACTGTAAAAAAAGCAAAAAAGAGAGGCATGTGGTTAAGCTCTAGGGGGTTGGGGGTGGAGTCCACCAGTCTTACTTCAGTTCCCTTTGCGTGAAGAGCTCAGAATCCTAAGAAGGAAAGTAAAGCTTAAGATGAACCTCTCATGTAAAATTTTAGCCAACTTACTTCTGATCTTCAACTTTTCTACCAAAGGTAAGTTGATGTGTGGGTCTCCACTGTCACTGTTAGAAGCTTCTTTGAAAACCCTGAGGTGAGATAGGAGTCAAAGAGGTCATAGCCCAGCTTTCCCTGGCAGTGAATCTGAAGACCTCTCTAACTGTCTTGCTTTTCACAGATGCAGTCCCCAGTGAGACTGGGAATCCCAAGGAAGCCTGGGGTGTCTTGGATCAGGAAATCAACCTGGACATTCCTAATTTTCAAATGAATAATGACATTGATGATATAAAATGGGAAAAAGAAGGACCAAACAAGACCAGAGTTGCACAATTCAAAAAAGACAAGACATCTTTCCATCTAAATGAAACATATGCGGTATTAGCCAATGGAACCCTGAAAATTAAATCTCTGAAGAAAAATTCTGGTGGTACCTACAAGGTATCAGTATACAATACAGAAGGGAAATTCGTGCAGGAAAAAACATTCCATTTGAAGATTATAGGTAAGTGTTCATTCCCTAAATATTTTCATTTCAGCATGGGTGCTATTTAGCAAGTTGGAAATAGCATTTATAACATTCTCCAGCCTTGACCTCTGCCTCCAGCGGGGCTCTGAAGCACATCGAATATATCCGTCCTGCCCCTGTGGAGACTCCAGTCCTGGGGCCTGGGGGTGGAATACACACATCTGATAGATTCTCGAGTCTAGCTGCCTATAGCTCTCTCCAGGTGGTTACGGGGAATGGGGGGCTGGGTGAAGAACCTGGATGAAGGTGGCATTAATCAGAAGGGGAACAAGTGGGCAGAGGAAAAAGGGGGCCATCCCAGGTGGGTGCTGAAGGGGTAAGCTAAAAGTGTGGCAGGAAGGTGAGGCTAACTGGAGAGCAGTGGGTCTGTCATCGGAAGAGCCAGCTTTAAGCCAGAGTGCCCCAAAGAAGTAGTTAGTTATATTGCAGGAAAGGGCTAGAAACAATGCATTTAAGGGTGAACAGCTCTTGTTTTGGATCTGCTCAACATCAGCGTGATCGAAGGTGGAAGGTGACTTTTGCCGATATGTGTAGAAAATACACAATGTGTGGCTTTGTGCGTCTCTACTTGTACTGGGAGGGCAGGAGTGGATATTGAAGACAGAGGTGGGGAGACTGGCCAGAAAGCTGCTGCTGTAATCCAAGTGGAGTGGGGAAGGGCTGGTGGGTGATTTTTAACCCTGGTTGCACATTAGAATCAACGGGGATGCTTCTAAAAGTCACCAGTGCCCAGGCCCCATCCTAGACCAATTAAATCAGGGATTGGAGTATGGAGCGTGGGCATCGGTAGGTTCTAAATCTCCCCGGGGGGTTCCAAGGAGCAGGCAAGCTTGGCAACCACGGGCCTGGATGAAAGGGGCCTCTGAGGTGAGGAAGAATGAGCACACTGAGGGCCGTGCTGGAGAAAGGACAGACACGTGGCTTGGGTGAGGGAGAGAAGGGGGTGAAAGTGGAATTGAAGTGCCATTGAAGTTGAAAGCCCATGGGACACGGTGCAGGGAATGGCCAGAAGGGAGAAGGGGAAGCTGCTTTTGGCTTGGAGAGGCAGACAGGAGCCCTAGCACGGACAGGAGCCAGCCATTCAGTGAGCAAATCAACACTGCTGTGCTGCGCGCAGGAAATGTCGCCAGAGCCGGAGGCCCCGTCCTCCCGCCTGGGCTCCCTGCAGCCCTGTCCTCAGCACCTGGGCCTAGCAGCAGCCCGGCTCCAGCCATCCCAGACATCGCCAGCTCCCCTGCAGCCTCGAATGGAGAGCACCTTCCAGAAATGGGGTGAGGCTCAGAATGGCGCCGGAAGGGGCCTCTGACTGTAGGCTCTGGGGACCGCAGATCTCGTGACTCCCGCCAGCACAGCCCAGGTGTCCTGTCTTGAGTGCACGTTCGTGTCGAGTTTGGTGTTGTGGTGGTAACAAAGGCCGCCAGCTGGTGTCAGGGGCTCCCTTGCAGATCTCATGTGAGGCTCCCAGTGGTGCTCAGAGGCAGTAGAGAGGTAGTCGCTACTACCCCCTTATTTACCTGTAAGAAAACAGAGACCCCATCAGAGGCAGCTTGACCAAAGTCTCGTCGCTTCATAGGAGCAAAGTCAGGCTTCAATCCCAGAGGTCCTTGTGGCAAGGAGGATGATCTTTTTCCTTTTTTCCAAACACCTTCTTTGAGATATAATTCACATACCATACAATTTGTCCATTTGAAGTGTACAATTCAGTGGCTTTTAGTATATTCACAGAGTTGTGCAAGCATCGCTACGATCGACATCTTCATTACTCCCAAAAGAAACCCTCTCACCCCTTAGCCAAAAGACAGCGACTTGCTGTTGTGTGTGTACATATCAATGTCACACAGCATCTTAACTTGGGGTCTGGTCACCATTCCTTATCACCTGGCCTTGGGCAAATTCCCTATCAGCTCTGAGTCTGATTTTCTTAATAACTTCAAGGGATAGTCGATGAGAACACGTGTGTGAAGGTGCCCCGCAGTGCCTGGGGCACGGTACCTGTTTGCCCAGTGCTAATGCCCTCCCGCGTCTCCTTGTTTCTCCAACTTTCTCAAGCTTCGGTCGTGGTACCCACATCTCCTTAACGAAGGAGCTGCTGCAGGCATTGGAGGGCCCCTTAGAAGCAGATGGTGGTAGAGAAAGGGTTAATACGAGCGGCTCAAAAGCAAGGAGTTCTCACCCTGAGAAGGCCTTCACAATGGACCCCTGATAATCAGGCCACGCACTGGTAGGAAGCTATCCTCACAGGGAGGATGCGTACAGAGGCATCGCTACATGAAGACACTCATCACCGTGTTGTATATGTTGTTGAAATACTGGAACAGATTAGAAACAGATTAGAAATTCCAGCAGTTAGAAACTTATTAGTTAAATTAAGAATGTGTCATTTTAAAAAGATGGTGGAGATATACATTTACCTATGTTCATAAAGGAAAGAATTTCATAATATAATTTCATAGTAAGGGGGAAAAGGCAGACGATAAAATCACATAATTCAGTTTTAATTTTAAAAATATTATATTATATATATGTGTACATACACATAGAAAATATCTGGTAAAGATATACATCATCAAAATGCTAATTTTTATTTACTTTGGGTAGTGGAATTGGGGGTGATTTTTAATCCACTTTAAACTTTTAAAAGTATTTTATCAATTTTTATAATGATTGGATGTTACTGTTATAAATAGAAAAAGAATGTTTCCATTTTGAAAAGACAGGTAAACACCGTGACCCAACCCCTAGGCTACGTACTGACTATGTTGTTGTATGTTGATGTTTTTCCATTTTCTTCATTCTGGGTCACATAGAATCTCAGGATGGGAAGAAAATTTAATTTAATTTCTGCATGCCTATACATATTGGGACAGAAATTAAATTTAGCTGGGATGGTCCATGGGGAAGATATTGGTGTCTGGAAGTCAGAGTGGGAGGGAAGTATTGAAAAATAAGCCGTCTGTCCACATTATGAACGGAGAGCATCTGACAGGGAAAGGTGGCCAGTCTGGGGAGAGAGAGTAAAGAATGAGGAAAGGAATAAAAGAGAAGGAAAAGGAGAAGGTCACACAACTAGGAAGTGGTGGAGCTAGGATTTGGACCTGACCCGTCTAACAGCAAGGCCAAGTGTATTTTCTTTTACGATGTAGCCTTTAAATATTATCATGTCAGAGAAGGAGAGGCCAGAAGTTTATGATTAACAAAAGCAAGGACTACCACTAATAGTGTCGGTACCTAACAATTTTCCCAGGGCTTTGCCACATGTTGTCCCTTTTGTAATGGGCAGGGAATATTTTTCTCATCCTTCTCTTATAGATGAGGCCCAGTGAGGCACAGTGAGTAGTCAAGCAGCTTTGGCCGGGAAGAGCAGAACCGTGTCTCTGGTCCCCAGGCTGTTGTCATTTCTCTCCAGATCCTTGAGCTCGTTGGACACCCACACCCGCACATTCCCCCACCTGGCCCTCTGGACCCTGCTGGGGGTAGGGGGCGAGCAAAGTCCCAGGCCTCTCATGTGGTGATTCCTCCAGGGTGGGGTTCATGGCTGCTCCTAAAGCATCGCTCCTCTCAAGCTCCTGAGGTGAGTGGGGATCAGGACATGGTCACCCTCTTACCCATACTGCTGAACTTGGACTCAGAAGGGTGGCTCCTCTCTTGATCTGCTAATTTTTTGGAGTTGCCCTAAGACCACCTAAATAGGTAGGCATTTCACCTATAAAAGGGAAGAAAGACATCGGCCTCTCTGCTTATTAGGATTAAACGGTATCATGTATGTAAAAACATTTTAAGGTATAAGGCAGCACATAAACATTAGATATGACATACTTTTTTTACTGGTGTAATGTATCTACAAGCTTTATCAGCAATAAATTTGTTCTGAATGTTCTATGTAAATACAATAAAATACAATTATTTTCAGAAGTTGCTAAGGGCCGTTGAAATTGTTCCTTGGTCCCAAACTGACTCTATTCCTCCCTATATTAATAGATATAGCTATTAAAATCAGAAAATTGCCTAATATGAATTGGATCTTTATTTTCTTTTTAGAGTTGGTCTCAAAACCAGAGATCTCCTGGGATTGTATCAATACAACTTTGACCTGCGAGGTAGTGAAAGGAACTGACCCTGAATTAAAGCTGTATCAAAATCAGAAACATTTCATGACAAGTTCTCAGAGGGTCATCACACACAAATGGACCACCCGCCTGAATGCGATGTTCAAGTGCACGGCAAAGAACAGATTCAGTGAGGAATCCAGTGAGAAAGTCGTCAACTGTCTGGGTACGTAGTGGGCATCGCTTCACACTCACAGCCTGCCAGGCCTAAGCGGGCAGAGCCTTGGCTGGGAGGTGGCCTTGGCTCAGGATGAGAAGTGAAAACGTACCTCTTCCTCTGGAAACCTACAAGGAAAGCCTTAGAGGGGGTGACGTTCTCTGGTCACCTATCTTAGGAGTCCTCCCACTGAGCACAATTTGACCTCCGGCAATTAAAAAGATCTTCTTCTTCGAGAAAGAATTGCAGAATTGAAGAGGGGAAGGAGCTGTAGAGATTATCTCATGCAAAGCCCCATTTCCCAGAGAGGGAAACTGACTTGCCCAAGGTCCCTCAGCTAGTTAGTGACCGTGATTCCAACTCCTCCCCTAAACATTCCTCCATGGAAGGGAGCTGGTCAATGGTCAGCACCTCCTATCAAGAGTGAGGGTAGAAAAGCTGTAGAAACTCTGGGAGGTGGGGCACAGGGGAAGGGAGCATGCGAGGCCAGAGAGGACTGTGGACACAGCAAGGCCCCACTCCTCCTGACACCAGCAGGACAGCCCAGCATTGGGACTAGCTCCAGGAAGTCCTGAGACTCCAAGAGTCTAATGTATCCCCAGTGTCCCTGTTTGCTATGACCTCCAGAAGAAATTTTTGAGAGGCATCTTGCTGTAGGGCTCAAGCTCTGGCCTGGGAACCAGAGGCCTGGACTTCTAGTTTGGGTCTGTCCAAATGTAGCCAGATGACCTTGACAGAGTTTCTTCCCCTCTCTGGGCTTCAGCCTCCTGGTCCACAAAGAGAATAAGCTCCATGATCACAGAATATCAGAGGAGTAGACTCTTGGATCCGCTTGCAAGCTCACTCATGTGGGCCATTGGGCTGCCTCACAATATGGCAGCTGCCTTCCCTCACAGTAACCTAAGAGAGAGCACAAGTAAGTGCCCAAGACAAAAGCCGTGGTCTTTTTATAACTTAATCTCAGGAATGATATCCCAATCATGTCCGCTGTCTTCTATTCATTAGAAGTAAGTCAGTAAGCCCAGCCCACACTCATTCAGAGGGGATTACACAAAGATGGGATGCCAGGAGTGAGGATCACTGGAGCATGTGAGACTCTGCCAACCACAAACTTAGACCAGCATCACTTCACCCCCTATGTTTGCCCATCAGCTGTCCCCCCACAACCCCCCATCAGTGAGGCACAGTGAGTGAAGCTGTCCCTTCTTGACTTCATGTCTTTCTTTCCCCTTTCAGGAGGCCTTTGATCAGAGTTGCCAGACTTAGCAAATAAAAATACAGTGTAGGTATGTTCCAAATACTGCCCGGAACATACATATGCTAGAAATTATTCATCGTTGATCTGAAGTTCAAATTTAACTGGGTGTCTCGTATTTTATCTGGCAACCCTACTCTTTGTGTTTATTTTAACTAGAGATCACCGGTATAAAAATCTGTGTGTTAGGGATGGAAGGAGGGAGGGAAGGAAGACCTTGGGAGAAGCCAAATTTTGAAGGCTGGAACATTTCTGTCCTTTCCGTCCCCTTGAGCAGGGGCTGGTCATGGGAAGAGTCACAAAGGAGACAGGAAGAATACCTGGGGGGAGACTGGGAGGGAGGGGCTGCTCTTAAAGACCCTAAAAGGGATTTGGACATCTCATTCTGCAAGGCCTAGGTGGAGAGGAGCAATGATCAGACTCTAACCATTTGGCTCGTGTCAGGTGAGTGTGTACATACTTCAAACCAAAATACTTGGCAGAAGGAACAGATTCAGACACACAAGAAATACTTCATCACACATCATGTGTTGTCTCTAAAAGAAACTGTAGGAAGATATACGATTGGATTTAGGGATTGTAGGGACATATTTTTGAACAACAGAGTGACAGCTACCCCTGAGACAAGCTGGAATGTTCTCCACCAAGAGCACCACCAGGCGCCCCAGAGGGCCACAGTGCACAAACCTGAGAAAAGACTGTGTAAGCATTGCCTACATTCCTGAGTGTGCCCAAGATAAAGGTGTGGCCACCCTGTCTCAGGACTCTAAGGTGACCTGGTGGCTGCCTGACTTAGCCACTTGCTACCCAGTGCCCCACTCTGGGTCAAATCTGAAAAGTTCTCAGCCCAGCAGGAGGTAAACTCCTTCCAGCAGCCCCAGCCCCTCCTCCCAGCCAGCAGGGCCTAAAGGACCCAGAATCCTTTCTCAGCTCAGTGACATGGCTCAGGTTATGCCTGCTTCTCTAGTGACGCCCCTTCCTTGGTAGAGCAGGCAAGTTGCGTCACTGGCGGGCAAAGAATGAGTCAGAGAGAGACCTGAGGAAAGAAAACCAAGGAGGAACAAACGACTCCAGTTTGATAATCTGTTAAATTTGGTTTCCCAGCCTCTGGCTTGCTCGCTGGGGCCCCTCCCGGGCTTCATGTCTAAGAGTGTCTTCCTAGGGTTGTTTCGCTGGGGAAGCATTTCTTTTGTGATACTGGGCCAAGCTGCAGTTTGTCCTCCAGATGTCCCGGCCCCTGACCCCCGGCCCCTCTGTGGCCGCTCTCACTGTATTGACTGACAAAGGGCAGACAGCCCAGCACCCCTCCTGGGAAACAGCTCCCAGAAACACCGGCACAGAGAGCACTAGTGAGAGCAAGACCTCACACTTGTGTGTTGTTTTACAGTTTACAAAGCACTTTCATATCCATTATCTGATTGACTTCCAACAGCCACCCTGTGATGTAGGTTTCGTTATCTCCACTTTGCAAAGAAGGAAACAGGCTCAGAGAGGTGAAGTAACACACCAAATGTCAGACAGCTCTTGCCTAGAAGAGCCGGGACCCAAACCTGTTTTCCGTGACACCGAAGTTACTGTTTTTAAGGTCTGGGGACTGAAAAGTGAGTCCACTGCTGTTGCTAACTCACTGTGTGTCTGAGCTCCCCTCGGGGCTGCAGGAGAATCTGAGAGGCTGTGCTGGCTGTGAGGTCAGAGCGGGCTGCACAAGAGAAATATTCCCCCTCAGGGTTTGGAAACGGCCCGGTCAAGAGGGTGAGAAAGAATCGTGGTGCAGGAGGGAAGCCAGAGATGAGAGCGGGGCAAACAACATGGAAACACTGAGACAAGGGGCCGCTTAGGGAACTGCTCAGGAGCAGATACAGTGTGGCCGCCGACAATTCATCCTCCCTTTTGGGGCCTCATCTTGAAACTAGAAGTTACGCTGTAGTATCTCTAAACTCCTCAGATCTAAAATTCCATGACGCTCTCCGTGATGGGGAGAGTGGACAGGCCTCACCACCACGAACAATCAGATGAGTCTAGTCTAGGCCCCGAGAGCAGTTTCCCAAGGAGCCTGCAGAAGGGGCTTTCCCCGGACCCTGGACCCTTCCAGGAATTGACACAACTCACCACCTTCCATGAACTTGGCCTCTATGAGACCAAAAGCTCCCATTGAGCTCTTTTATCTGCTTGAATCAGGAGGCAGCTTCCTTGGCCAGAGCAATGAAATGACCCCTCTGTCTGGGCCCACTTCTGTTTTTTTTTTTTTTTATTAGAGACAGGGTCTTGCTCAGGCTGGAGTGCAGTGGCATGATCTGCAGTTCACTGCAGCCTTGAACTCCTGGGATCAAGTGATAATCCTGCCCAGTAGCTATGACTACAGGTGTGTGCCACCATGCCAGGCTAACTTTAAAAAAAATTTTGTAGAGATGGGGGTCTCACTATGTTGCCCAGGCTGGTCTTGAACTGCTGGCCTCAAGCCATTCTCCTGCCTTGGCCCCCCAAAGTACTGGGAGTTCATGCATGAACCACCATGCCAGCCCTCATCCCTCTTCTCCTCTTGCAGAGAAAGGTCTGGACATCTATCTCATCGCTGGCATTTGCGGAGGTGGCATCCTCTTCATAATCTTTGTGGCACTGCTCATTTTCTACATCAGCAAGAGGAAAAAACAGAACCGTAGGAGAAACAGTAAGCTCTCCTTCTTCCATCCCACAGCAGGTCCCAGAAAAATCCCTGTGAAACATCACATGGGGACAACACCTTGGACTCAGAGAAAATCATGGAGACAGGTAGTTTCAAAATGTCAGGGTTGTAACCTGTGGTTATAGCTCGTTTCATTTTGTGGCTAGCTTGGTTTTTGAAAAACAAATTCTTGATGGCGACTGTGTAGAGCTTTGAGATGCTGAATCCGGGTCAGCCTCATGGGAATCCACTGAGGCCTCCTTGGCATAAGGCCAGTGTGGATACATTCTCTGCATGGGTAGGAAGGTCAGCCTCAAAACACCATTTCTAGGAACAACCATCTTGTGCGTGCATGGCCCACGGTATGTTCAGGACCAAGCTCCTAGGAACACAGGTAAAATCACTCAGGTGGCCAAATACAAGAAAACAGTTGTTCTAAACCAGGATGACTGAGCCCCTTTTCTAACTCACCATTCAGGAGCGAGCGTTTTTCCTCAGGTCGAGCCTGTCCAACAACCTGTCAAGAATGAAAATGTTGGGCTCGTAAGTGAGGCGCGGGCTCATGGGGCATCCAGGCCACCCAAGGCAGAACACATCAGAGAACGACAAGCCAGGTGTTGCTGCGGGGAGGCGGTGGGGTGTCAGCCACCAGCAGGGTGTGCGGCAGACGGGCAGGCCTGGGGCTCTGTGCAATCTCAGTTCACAGCAGGCCTGGGTCCCCTCTTGCTGAGCCTCTCCCTGAGTGGGCCCAGCCCACCCACACCAGCTGGTTCCGGCAAGGCCCAAGGACAAGGTCTGAAGCTCCGCAGGCAGTGGTGGCCTTGGGCCCTGTGCCTTTCCGATTTGCTTTCTTACCTCCAATTCTCTTTTCAGTTCTCCCTCAGTCACCCCTTCAGGCTGCAGCCCCATGTCCCATCATACCATGGCCCCCAGCCTGGCCCCGAAACATCTTCCTAAGCTTAGTGCCTGTTCTTCCCTCCACCATCGTTCCGCACTCTCCACCCCAGCGGAACAGAACCCTTGCACAGCCCATAGGCACACATGGCTTCCTCCCTCCGTGCCCTGCACAGGCTGTGCTCAGCCCCTGCCCCGCAGAGACCCTTTCTCCACCACCTAATGGTCAAAGACCACATATTCTTCCCCAGACAAGGAAATGTCTGCCATCACCAGGCCGAAAACACCAACATGATGATTAGCTTATGTTGGCAAAGAAGTCATTTGTGCCAGGCACAAATCTCTATGCTTAAACTCATTATTTCATCCAGCTTTCAGCGTCATCACAGAAGGTAGAAGACATTAACACAGATGAGGAAACTTAAGCTCAGTGAGGTTAAATTATTTGCTTCTAATCCCGTGGCCAGTAGGCTGTCAGGACCAGGCCGAGAGAGGCAAGGAGCCCAGGGCACGGAATTTAAGGAGGCGCTCTCCCGTGGCCAACCTACCCTGAGAGTGGATGCTCCTTAAATTTTAGGCCCCGTCTGCCTCACTTGCCTCATTCTAGTCCAGGCTCTGGGCTGAGCAACCTGAGATGCAGATGAGGGGCAGACAGTGAGGCTGGGGAACGCCCGCAGCGGGAGTTCCAGCAGTGGCCGGAAGTTGCTGGAGGGGGTGTGCTGGGGACCCGCAGTCCTGCTCTGACCAGGCAGCCTGCTAGCCTCGTCTGTCCAGCCCGCTCCTCCCACCAGAGCTCATGGCCTCTGTCTGCACGATCTGGTGGCCCTGGGCTCTCACTGGAAACTGATATACTGATTTGCAGCCCTGGGTCATCTCACTTACTTGACTTTAGGCTTCCTGAGGATAGTGTCTGTGTCTGAGTCCTTACTGCTACTTAGCGATGGCATGTAACAGCTGGAAGATGAGGAATAAATGTTGGGAGAACAAATGAACAAAGTGGGGGACAAACAGAGCAGTGAACAAATGCCAGTCCAAGCTTGACAGGCAGGAGACGAGGAAGGATCACCCACTGTCCTGCAGCTGGGAATTGGGGTCGGGGTCAAAGTCCTCTCCACAACCTCCAGGGCATAACCTCAGCTACCTTGGGGCCCTGAAGATGGTATAAAGGATGTGTTTTGTCCTTTCTGGGGCCGTTTCTCTTTGTGCTTAGAGCACACAGGCCACTCAGATGTCAAAATCACATTGTCTGACTTTGAGTCTTCACATTCGAAGCCACCTGACGCTTGCATTCCCAGCAGTCAGAGGAGGCCATTTGGATTGGCGTTGTCACCTTGAAGTCACAGGGTGATGCTCAGAGAGGGGCTGTGTTTTCCCAGCCACACGTCCCTATGACGGTTTAAGAGACTGTTGATTTACCCCAGGGAGAATCTTCTCTTCCTACCTCCCTCTGGGGCCGTTGCAAAGATGGTCTTGGGTGCAGGGATTGGAATACCTAACTCGTAGCCTACAGGAGGCCAGAGGGGGCCAGCAGGGCCCTCACAGATTTCTTGTGTGATTTTAAGGCAGTACAGGAAAAACTACGTTACTATTAGTCATGGCCCTACCGTTGTGGACGAAAGTCACTCAAAGCAGAAAATCCTGGAGGATGAGGAAAGGAATTCTTTCCCTCCTAAGCCCGAGAGCATAGGCCATGAATTTCTGAGGAACTAGTAAATTTCTAAGGACTGAAAAGTCCCTCATATGTGTTCCAACCTCTCGCCAGAATGTGGGTTGCATGGCAGCAGAATTGAGTGAAAGGCAGTTCTAACATACAAACCCATCGAACGGAATGTTGTTACTGAAACGACATGACTACTCAGACGCCATTGCAATGTGCGCTAACCACAGGGTTCTTGCTCTCAGGGAAGTCGCTAGAATGGCACAGAGGCAGGGCTCTGAGGTCTGAGTGGGACCTCTTTGCCCGTGGGAGCCCCAGGCACGAAGCCCTCCACCTGTGTGTCTTCTTCTCACTGGTTCCCCAAGCTCTCTGAAGTCCTGGGCTCTCACTCTACCTGTGGTGGCGAGCATTTCTGTCTCTCCTGTAAGACCCAGAGCTCTCCGAGGGTAGGGGCAGCTGCTGCTTCCTCATTGCATCCCCCAAAGGAGCTCGCATTAACGCCTCGCACACAGAGGTACTCAATATTTACACTGATTGCATCTCGCCGAGATGAACTCTATAAAGATTTTCTTGTTGCAGATGAGGAGCTGGAGATTAGAGTCCACAGAGTAGCTACTGAAGAAAGGAGCCAGAAGCCCCACCAAATGCCAGCCTCTGTGCCTCAAAATCCAGGGGCTTCCCAAGCACCCCCACCACCTAGTCATCGTTCCCAGGCACCTGGTCATCGTCCGCTGCCTCCCGGTCACCGTGTCCAGCACCAGCCTCAGAGGAGGCCCCCTCCTTCGTCGGGCACACAAGTTCATCAGCATAAAGGCCCGCCCCTCCCCAGACCTCGAGTTCAACCGAAACCTCCCCGTGGTGCTGCAGAACACATGTCGTCCCCTTCCTCTAATTAAAAAGCATGGAGACCTTTCTTTCCAGTAAAAGACACTGTGGATTTCTCCACCTTGGGTGTGCACATCCACACTTCCATCAGGTATTTTCTACGAGCAGAACATTAGCACCTCCTGATGCTCGTGGGCCACAGCTACCTCTGCACCTTCTAACTCAGCATGCGGTCAACATCTGGGAGGGAGAGACAATAAACATGTGATTGTGAGGATGATGGGTGACTGAACACAAAAATCTTAGAGCTCTCTAAGAGCTCCCTCTCAGCTCACGTGCAGATGAGCTAAGCCACATGGTGGCTGTGCCCCAGTCTCCCCGCAAGCAGCTTGAGAGACTCTCAGGTTTCTTGTGTGCCCTGGTGGACACCTGCCCACCGTCCTGTGAGTAGAAGTGAAATAAAAGCTTTGACTTGACCTATGTCTGCTCATTATCGAGAAGAGGAAGCTGCTGAATGAGAAAGAGGTGCGTGGGTGAGACAGCAGGATCAAATTTGGTCAATCCGGTTCACCTGAGCCACCTTCAGCCTCACTAAAATGACCAGAGCATGCTCCCCAGGTCACAGCTGCAAAGCTGGGCACAACGACCTATTTGTAGATGTGTGTAATGAATTGAAACCTCTGTGCACAAAGTTCAGTAGAAGGCACCAAAAAACTTAATCTTTTTAGTCTCACTTTCTTGACTGTTCAGACATGGTCACAGTGACCTGTAGAGTCATCCTTGAAAAGAGGGAAGTCCATGAATACTGGAGGCACCATGAGCCCATCAGATGACATAAAAGGGTGGGCTCAGAGACAAGCTGGTTGAATCAAATACTAAGGGTCTTAAATGACCATAATTAAAAGATCAGACCACATCCCTAGCTAGAAGTCATGCTAGTTGTACATTGGGGGAAGTGGGAGGAAAAAAACAATTTTTAGTTAAAGTTAGAAAATAGTAGGTGGTGAAAAGACACCTCGCTTTGAAATGTTGGTGCCACATTTGTGGTCCCATCCGCCCGCCTTCTCCTTGGCTTCTTAGGCTTGCTGAACCTTGTTAAGCTCTGGCAGGAAGCTCTGAGGTCTAAACCACAAAGTCAAGTATATTCAGGACTTCCTGTGAGAGCTCACTAATTGTTGAACTGCTTTTTCCTCTGAATCTAAGCACCTATTGTTTTAGCACCCAGAGTTCATTACTAAGGGCGATGATGAATGAAGCCCCAGAGCCTCCTGAAATCCAAACGCAGAATCCAGTTAGGGAACAATCACCAGAGGACCTCCCCAGTGAGGGAGACGAGGGTTCCAGTGCTGCGCATTTCTCATTCTTCATGGCAATCTTGGGTGGTCCTGCCTTCCCTTCAGAAAGCCTTCCCTGGCCTCTGACCCCGAGCTCTGCCTTTCTTCTGAAGTCCTGTGTTGTTACACATGGTACAGAACACACACTGCCTGTTCAATCCTTTATGACACATTCATTTATTGAACTTCTGCATGGCAGGCTCTGCGCTAGACACTAGAACACAGAGGTGTACAACTGCATCTCTGCTTTCAAGGAGCCCACAGTCTAGTGGGAGAGGGGTGGGCACATGTGACACAGTGGGATGGATAAATACAGGCCAAAGGCAAGCGCAGGAACCCAGAGGAATAACTGTGAACCCAGGTTGTGTGGTGGAACTGGGGTGTCACAAAAGGCTTCCGGGAGGAGGGCAACTCTTCCAAGATTCATCAGAAAGGTGGGATCACAAGGCAAACCACTGCACCCAGAATTGGAGAGACCAACAGTCGAAGGCAGAAATTTGTGGCTTGCTGGAGCAGAAATCTTGAGTGAAAACATCCACAGGAACCAGCAAGGTAGTGAAGTCTGAGCTACAATTGAAGCATTGCTGGAGTCTCAGTATGAACAAGTGTGAGAGATAAAAACTCCGGGGGGGGTGCCTAGTTATTTGGGGGTCCCCACGCTTTTGTGAATTTTGCCTCTAGGAGCTCAAACAGATTCTCACAGTGACGCTGAAGAAAAATCTCCTTGTACCTCCCGCAGGTGGGTGGAGAAAAGTAGCTACAGTCGTCTCTCAGTGTACGTGGGGATTGGGTCCAGGACGACTCCTCTTCCCCCAACACATATACCAAAATCTGCACATACTCAAGCCCGGCAGTCAGCCCTACAGAACCCACCTATATGTGGTGATTTTGAATCCTGTGAATATTGTGTTTTCAATCCAGGTTTGTTTGAAAAAATCCACATATAAGTGGACCCCTGCAATTTAAACACATTTTGTTCAAGGGTCACCTGTATTTTGAAATATGCCAGGCATTTTGTTCTTCTTAACAAGATCTTCCCTCAGGAGAAACTATTTAACAAGAGCCTAAGCTGTGAGGATTTTTATCAGACCCTAACTGACCTGAGGGGAAGGAAATACCTAATTGCAGCCCCTTCAGCCTTCCTGGAAGGAGAGAAGTATCCAACTCCAGCCCGTGCTGACCATCTTGCTGAAAGGGCAGAAGAAACTGAGAATACATGGGAAGTTCATAGTCCAGGGGTACAGGCTCATTAAAAGACTGATACCTTTGGTGGTTCTATAGAGCACTTCCCCGCATCCCACAACTTACCACCACAGTACTAAGGGCCTATTCACTGCAGTTCCTTTTACTGGTACATCATGCCTGGCTATCAAGACAAAATTGTCGCCAGGCGCGGTGGCTCGCTCCTGTAATCCTAGCACTCTGGGAGGGCGAGGTGGGAAGATCACTTGAGGTCAGGAGTCCAAGACCAGCCTGGGCAAGAGTGAGACCCCGTCTCTACTAAAAATAAAAAGAAATTAGCCAGACAACTAAAAATAGAAAAAATTAGCTGGGCCTGGTGGCGCATGCCTGTGGTCCCAGCTACTCAGGAGGCTGAGGCAGGAGGATGGCTTGAGCCCAGGAGTTTGAGGTTGCTGTGAGCTAGGCTGATGCCATGGCACTCTAGCTTGGAAAACAGAACAAGACTCTGTCCCCCCAAAATAATTAATTAATAAATAAATTTTAAAAAATTGAAAAAAAGAGAGACTATTACTACAGATCCCATGAACATTAAAATGATAATCAAGGATTACTAAGAACAACCTTATGCCCATAAATTCGATAACCTAGATGAAATGATCAAATTCCTTGAAAGACACAAACTGCCAAAACTCACTCAGGAATAAATAGACAATCTGAATAGGTCCATCTCTAGTAAAGAAATTGAATCAATAACTAAAAACCTTCAAAAACAGAAATCACCAGGCCCAGATATGTTTACTGATGAATTCTACCACACATTTAGGAAAGAAATTATACCAAATTCTCTACAATCTCTTTCAGAAGATAGAAGCAGAGGAAGTACTTCCTAATTAATTCTATGAGGCCAGCATTATCCTAATACCAAAACCAAACAGAGACATTACAAGGAAACTACAGACTAACATCTCTCATGAACACACATGCAAAAATCCTCAATAAAATATTAGCAAATCAGTGCTTACTTCAGCAATACATATATTAAAATTAGAATGATACAGAGAAGATTAGCATGGCCCCTGCCTAAGTATGACACATAAATTCACCAAGTGTTTCACACTTCTTACAAAAAAAAAAGAAAGAAAAAGTTGTGCTAAATAAACAAGATGGAAAAGATCAAAAAATTTAGCAAATCAAATTTGACAGTATATAAAAAGAATAATACAGCAGTACCAAGTGGGATTTGTCCTTTGCATTTTATGCAAGGCTGGTTCAACATTTATATATCAACTAATGTAATCCATCACATCAACAAGCTAAAGAAGAAAAATCATGTGATTATATAAATATAGGAAAAGAATTCGATAAAGTTCAACATTAATTTATCATAAAATCTCTCAGTAACTAGGAATAAAGAGGAACTTCCTCAACTTGATTTTTAAAAATCTACCAAAAGAAGTACACCTAACATCACACTTAGTGAGAAACTCAAAGTTTTCCACTAAGATCAGGAATGAGGCAAGGATGTCCTTTCTCATCACCGTTTTTCCGCATTGTACTGGAAGTAGCTAATGAAATAAGAAAAGAAAAGGAAATAAAAGGTATGCAGATTGGGAAGAAAAAAATAAAAGTGTCTTTATTTGCAGATGACATGATCATCTTTCTGTTTAGAAAGTTTGAAAAAATCAACCAAAAAATCTTCCTGGAACTAATAAGTGATTATAGCAAGATTGCAGGACACCAAGTTTATACAGAATCACTTTCCTTCATACCAGCAATGAACACATGCAATTTGAAATTAAAAATACAACACAATTTACTTTTTAAAAAATGAAATACTTAGGTATCGATCTATATGAAGAAAACTATGAAATTCTGATGAACAAAATCAAAGAAGAACTAAATAAGTGGAGAGAAATTTCACGTTCATGGATAAAAAGACTCAATATTGTCAAGAAGTCAGTTCTTCACAATTCAATCTATAGACCGCTCAATGCAATCTCAATCAAAATCTCAGCAAGTTACTTTGTGGATATTAAACTGATTCTAAAATTTATATGGAGAGCTAAAAGACTCAGAATAGCCAACATAATATTAAAGAAGAACAAAACTGGAGGACTGACACTATCCAACTTCAAGACATACTATAAAGCTATAGTAATCAAGACAGTGTGATATTGGTGCAATAATAGACAAATAAATCAATGAAACAGCATAGAGAGACCAGAAATAGACTCACATAAATTTAGACATCTAATCTATGACAAAAGAGCAAACACAATGCTTTAGAGAAAGAATAGTCTCAACAAATGGTGCTGGAACAACTGGACATCCATATGCAAAAACTTGAATCTAGGCACAGATCTTGCAACCTCCACAAAAATTAATTAATTTGAATCACAGACCTAAATTCAAAATTTAAAACTATAAAACACCTAAAAGATAACGTAAGAAAAAATCTAGGTGACCTTGGGTTTGGTAATGATTTATTAGATGCAGCATCAAAAGTAAAATCCGTGAAAGAAAGAATTAATAAGCTAGACTTCATTAAAATTAAAATTTTCTCCAGAGAGGGATCAATATGGCTGACTAGACACAGGTAGTATGTGCCTCCACAGAGAGGAACCAGAATAG